AACGTGAATCCTCCTGAGAAAATGATTTGGCATCAACTGCAAAATTGAGCGCAACGGTGGGATGCATTTGTCGTATCAAGGCTTAATTCTTTCGAAACTAAAACTGGGGCAAAAACAAAACACATTTTGATCTGTAGATTCGCGTGGGTTTTGTTTTTAAACAAGGAAGCTGCACGAAGATGGGGATCCGCTGTTGAAGTGGCAAGAGAAACGTGTGAAGAGTTAAGAGCCTAAAAGGTGAGGGACTAAAGCACAATCTTCCGAGTTGAGGGTGGATATGTGTGTTTTGCTTCTTGTGCAGAATCACTTGTGGACTGTGAGGTTGAGTCACGGCTCGATAGCCAGTTGGTGGCAGCAGTCACACAGAATCGGACAACCATCTGTCTGGGTAACTCACCGGGCACGGCCAAGGATCTGCCTCGCCTCGTCTAATCGCCAGCTATTTTTAATATTGCACAACGGCCAGAGGGTTTAACCCGCGCCCACCCAACCATCAAAAACAATTCTTAAAAAGCAGCAGCTCCTGATTAAACAAAAGGGGGAGACTGGAATAGGAGGAAATGTCTAGTCAGTTACGAATTTTAACAGCTAGGAAAACTTTGTTTCTCGAAACGTGACCCTTTCACTCAGTTCCTCACATCCCCCTACCCCACACATTCTGAAGTAAAATGCGGCAGCTCTTCCTCGAGCGACGACTGGACCCGATTAGAGCAAGTATCGGGGTTGAAAATGTGCAACGTTCAGCCGGTTTACAAATCCAAACGATGAGGAAATCCTACGCTCTTTAATTGTGCTGCGGGTTTAATGAACTATCATTTATTGGCGTTCCGGTTAAGATTTAAACTCAATGGCTAACCAATACTATTCATGGACATTTTAGCTAACTTTCCCTTTGCTAAGAGGAGTACCGAATCGTCACTGTTGGTACATGACTGCGACCATCTAAACCCATCACTTGGTCCTCATTAATAACTCACTTCTAGCCATAATTAGTTGCCACTTATTGTGGAGACCAGATCTGGCCTGGATTACAATTATCTTCTCAAAATAAAAACAGCCGGCGATCTCCTGGCAGATGGACTCTTGTTTGTTTATTTTTTTGCCGTCTTCGTCATCAGTCTTAGGTTTTGTTGTGACAGTAAACAGAAACAAACTGGCAACCTCTGTTGCTAGTCCTGGTCCATCCGCGAACTCCAAATGGCAATTGCTGAAGAAAGGCTGTTGTGTCAGCGACTGTTCCGGTCCTGAACAAACTATTTAAGCGGAATCAGAAAGGGAGAGGGGAGACAACGTAACAACAGATTTCCCACCCACACTTCATTCGCTTCTGTTTAATTATATTGGAGGGAGAGTGCAAAAGTCATCTGAATTTTAATTAATATAATCCAAATATTAATTAATATCTGAATATTGCAAAATGTTCTACTTTATATATTCCCTTCGGAATAAAGAATGTGGATTAATTAGAATCTATATCAAGGAAAACCACTTCGGTAGGTATTGGATATTTTATGTGGCGTGATTATTAGGGCACCAGTGTTCTGATTTATTGCGGAATAATTACCTGCAAATGGGAGGGACAGGCAGCCACTAATTTTATTTCTCTTGCTTTATTAAAATCGTCTATTTTTTGGACAGCCAGGACTCCCTGGTGTAAAACTAGGAGTTTTGCATCCAGTGACGTGACTGATAATTAGACATTACTTTCAGGGGTATCTGTACTTGTCAAACACTCCCCCAGGACACTCGCTGCAGACTGTTTTAGGCAAGAGTACTGGAGAGAAGGAAAGATGCACACACATGGGGATTTATTTTCATTGCCGCTCGGTGAGGTTGGTTAATGCTGACTTTCCAAGCAACAACAAATGGCCTGGCAACGGCGCAGTTTGAGACGAGCGTAGTAATCAATGGAATTGCGAGAGGAAGGAGTCCAACACTTAAAAAGAACATCTGATGGGAGAAATCCTGAGTGTTTGGTCAGCTTCCTTCGTTTTTTGTTGTAGCCCAGTGAAACACACTCCAGAAAAAAAAATCTATTCCAGTTCAACTTAGTCGTGTTTGCACTATTTTAAACTCATTCTGATAATTATGTAGAAAATAGAGATGTTTTTAAAAATGTAACATGTAAAGTCTGTTACAACTAACCAAGTCACTATTTAATCTCGCATAGCCCCCTGAACTCACGATGGCCGTTTATACACATTATTTGTCAACGTTAGGGAACTAAAATCATTGAATCATCGACACACATTTCTGGCCACATTTTCTGGGTCGATTGTATTTTTTTAAAAATCCTTTTGAGTTAATTACTTAAATTCTTCATAAATCCGTAGGTATAATTTTTATTTAAAATCGGATTTTGAAGGCTTTTAAATGGTACGATTCACTACGACGTTGTAATAAATTCCTCGCGGCGTTGGTGCAACGCTCGGGTGTAAGAATTCTAAAAGGCTTGATATCCTGATTGCACCAACTCGCAAAATCGGGGAAAATTAAAGTAGGAAACTTTCTGAAACTCTCCACAGCTTTCAAGCGAAGAACTATCACACGGAAAAAAAAACCTCGACATCAAAGCCTTCCCCCCAAGGCTTTGGAGGCAGAAGTCAAGAGAGTTCACATTAAATCCCAGCAGACTCCGCAAATCTCGCCACACTCTGATTTTCCACACCTTGCTCCCTTGAAAACAATCTTCCGGAAACAGAACGATACTTTTTATTTATAATATATAATAAAAAGGAGAGGGACGGTTTAACAGCAAGTGACAGCAAAATTAGCTCTCCTTACGTGTTTGGAAAACCAGCAGAAAGTCGGAATTGAGATTTTATTGACAAGCTGTGGCCTGTTTTAGAATAGGACGCCTCACCCACTCCCCTTTGTTGGGAAGTGAAAACCGCGGGGGGAGAAAAAGTACAACGTTTCTGCACACTCCATTCATCTCCCATCCCCTCAGCCTTGATCATGTGAAAGTTTAAAAATAAACACGAATGTTTCTTTGTTTTTTGAAAAAAAATCATTCAATGGATGTTACACTCAAAGTGATTGGCAATAGTCGACCACCCGACATAAATAGTGGGCCGTACGAAGAGAAACTTAAAAAGACAAGGCAGGGGATTAATCTTCAGCGAGTACAACATAATTTCTAGCAATCACTGTCAATCATCAGGGCGAGACATTAAAAATCATTAGCTGAGCCACTTTGGTGTTTGAGACAAACTGGCTTCGTCCGACAATTCCGAGCTCTCATTCGATGGAAGATGGAGAAACAAGGTTACATTTTTAAAACTTCAGTTTACTGGCAGGTGAGGAGGCGGTGCCCGGCTTTATGAGCTGGGGCTTGTGTTTTAAAATCAGAAGCCAGCACCCGCGGCTCCCCCAGGCGTTCTGACATCCCATTCGCGGGGCAACACTTTGGCTTGCGGGAACAGGGTTTCATTCCCCGCTAAACTGCTGTCCTCGAAAGGAGGTCAGACAGCAAACACTGAAATCAGAAACTCGGGCAGAAATAGCGGCAGGTTCGTCCACAGAGAGGAACAGATCTCGTTGCCTGCGTCCGATGTGTTCCCAGGGTTTGTGTTACTGAGCCGGTTTGATGAATGGAAGCTAAAAGACTGCCGGGTTGCACTTTTTGAATCGACACAATATTCTCCTTCAACGGGCCCACTATGGAGATCTATAAAAATACAAGCGCACTGCCCTCAGCTCCCTACAGTTTGAACCTAATGAGTTTTGCACCATAATTTATTTTAATGATCCATCTTAACCACTGCCTTCCCCTAATACTCGCTGAAGTCACTCTATACACACCGTTCACTAAAAGTTGGTGAATACCATTGAAAGTCAGATTGAAGAAGTCTCAAAGTTAAGCACTTAATACAACTCTCCAGCATCTGCAGTAAATAGACCATAAAGCGCACTTCCTGACAGAGTGTAAGTCAAATTCTAATATCAGATCAGATTTCGCCAAAACCTTGTCTTTTTTGCCCGCAAGGACAAGTCTGACGTACAATTTGCTTCAAAACACATTGGGGAGTTCCTCAAATTCACGCCCATCCCCCCAAGTGCAGATAAACAGGTAGCGCAATATCTACACCAAACTATCATTAAACGCTTTTCCTGACACACTGTGGCACCAACCGGCCGCCACTGGAAGGTACATAACTCGAGTCGCTGTAAATCAATTCAAATCGTGTTAAAAGCGCACATCCATTTTAACCCTTGTGAAATCGAGACTGTGAAAATAATACACACATGCACCACATTCTCGAGGTTACACAGATGTACTGTATGGTATAGTCAAAGAGGGCTGAACCTGCCGCTTTCACAACCGTTAAACACGACGCCCCCCCCCCCTCCCATTCCATCCCACAAACTCCTGAGAAAGGAGCTGGAGAAATGCCATCACCGCAAAGCGGGGCTGGAAGAGTGGGGTGGGGCGGGGGGGGAAGGTGGAATTGTCAGTTTTATCGCATCAAGCAACAACAAAAAAGGAAATTCAACTCAAGTTAAAACAAAAAGAAAACGCGCCTGTGCTTAGTGCTCAACACAAAGTCTTACGCAGATGGAGTCCAACGTTTGAGAGTTTTATTTAAGGCTGGGGATTGTTCAGACTCGGGGAGATGGGTGAGAGCTAACTAGAGGACGGGAGGATAGATCCGCGAGTTTTGACCGCTGTAGACTCTGCGGGGGAAGGTGCAGCAGCCTGTTGCAGCCAGCGGGAATAGACCCCAGACGCACTGGCATTCGACGTTTGCTTTAAAACACCAGGCAGAAGGTCCCCGCTAAAGTACAAAATAAGTTATCACAGTGACAACCTAAAGCAATCACATACACAGCCAGCAAACCAGCTCCCCGCGGGCTGGCACAGACTTGACGGGCTGAATGGACGAGGGACAAGGCTCAGCTGCGATCAACCTGTGTTTTGGCATCACAATCCCCTCCTCCAAGTACAAATTAAAAAATCCCCGCCAGTTTTGTTGCCCCCCCCCCCCCCGGACACTTACTGATACCACTCCATGCCGTTGGCGTAGTGTCTGTCGAAAAAGTGGGGCTCTGCCCCCACAGCTCGGACGTCGGGATGGACCCGGAGGAATTCGAGTAGCGCCCGGGTGCCTCCCTTCTTCACGCCGATGATGATCGCCTGAGGCAGCTTCTTGGCTCCATAGCCTCCCAGGTTGAACTCGAAGGGTTTGGGCGAGTGTCCGCCCTCGGCCGTGGGGCTCTCCTCAGTCAGCTCGACCCGGTCATCCTGCAGCAGGTCCCGGGAAGCCGACCTGAAGACCAGGCGCTCCCGGGCGGCGGATAGAACCGGCTCCTGCCGTGGCTGCGAGCTTAGCTCAGACATACTGCCTCCTGCTGACACCTTCAGGCCGCCCGGCTCGCTGCCGCCGCCGTCCTTGGTGTAGCCCAATCCGGGCACTGAGAGGCAGAGGCCAGCACAAGAGTAGAAGATGTAGAGCCACAGGAACAGCATGGTGAGCAGCAACAAAAGTTTCTTTCGGAAGGCGGCCGGGGGAGTGAATTCTGAATGATACCAGCTCAGGCTGCATTCCATGCCGTGTGCAAGCGATTCATCTTTAACCAGGCGCAACCTCCTTACAGAAAGTGCAAGGCGGTGATCAAATCCATTTCCATCGTCTAGGAACACAGTTGGTGGCGGCTGCAGAGAATCACTGCCTTCAGACTGGCCGCATAGTGAAACTCCTCTCTGTCTCCCTCCCTCCCTCTGTCTCCTCTCTCTCAGATCCTCGGTTCTGCTTCAGCTGCTAATTCCCAGGCTCACCCAGCCTCACAGCCTCTTTGATAAAAAAAAATGGGAGGGTGGGCGGATGGGAGACACACACCCCTTATCTGATTGACACCTCTCGCCTCCAATCGGAACCCTTCATACATATTCATCCTCCACTTACAACTCCGGCTACATCCAATAGAAAGCTGAATCGACACCCGACCGCCACTAAGCTCTTCTATTGGTTCCTAGCCCATTAGCTCCCACCCATCCCTGCCACCCCTCCTCAGCACCAACCCATCAGAGACCAGCAGCGGAAGTGTTGCTATGCACCTGGTGGGGAATCCCTCACACCTTTTACCCTCCTCCACGGGGCAAAGGAGATTGGTCCAGTTTTGCTGGGTCCTCTCTGACAAACGCTTTCTGCCCCAGCTCCAGGCGTGTCCCAAGTGAAATACTGACTCGCCAGTCCCTCCCCAGCCCACGGTTCCTGTGTCAGAACAATTCCTGCCGCTCCGCCACAGCTCACTTTATACCCGGAGCCGGCTCCTTAATCTCGCCCGAGCAAAACATTCCTCCTCTGAGGAAGGGTCACCGGACTCTGTTTTTTCCTTCGCAGATGCTGCCGGACCTGCTGGGCTTTTTCAGCAGAGATAGTAGGAACTGCAGATGCTGGAGAATCCG